ATGATGTAAGTGACGTTGCATTTTAATGTTTTGTTAGTCTAACCCATGAGATGCACTGCTGCTGTTATTTGTTCAAAATATTAGAGAAATATAGTAGCTCAATGCGTAGAAGATCTTGATTAGGTTAAAACCGAAACCAAGCCATTCCCACAGAACGCATATTCAGCACATTTTTAGACGGACAAATATGACTGCTGCACTCACACAAGAGATGCAAAGAAAGTCATGCAAAGTTAAAACAGTTTTAACGTTTAGAAAACGCGACGCGAATTTGTGAAGGTTTATTTCATTTCACTGCGTCTCATATGTTTTTAAATGCAATCTGTGTGATCGGCGATTTGGCTCTTTGTATTAGGCTAAGGAATGCATAAACACATGATGCTGTTTTGTTCATAATTGTTTATGCGGTTTACAAAATTATATTTGATATATATATGTTAATTTAGACGTTATGACATTTTTATAGACCATTATTTGAATTGACAATTAATGCGTTGCATTATTTTGCTCATTGCGCCCTCCTGTGGCCTCGGGAAACAAGCCAAAAGTTTCCTTAAGACTTATTTAATCTGCATATAAAACATAAGGAGATATTTGTTTAAATGTTATTTTGTGTTTGACTGTTAAAAAAAATGTATATATATTTGTTATGTATTTGTTATATGTTGTTTGTCTTAATAAAGTGGGCAAATTAAAAATACAGTGGTTAAATTCAAATTTTTTTTTCTATTGCTCTGTTTTAAAAAAGGTTATAAAAAATTTCAATAATTATCGATACCGAACGATATGAAACATATATCGTTGATATATTTTTTAGCTATATCGCCCAGCCCTACTTCCAATACAATTTTCCGAAAGATGGTTTTGGTCATTTAAGGTAGTTGTTATCACGCTGATATATGGTCAAATGTTCGTTTTTGTGATAAGTTTGATTTTAGCTAGTAATTCGATGCTATAAAAACGGGGCGTGTCGTTATGGTTGATTGGGTCTGCGGGAGTTTGATACCGCGGCTCCACCTCATGACACTACTGCACAGACTCTGGCTCCAAACGAATCTGTGATTATTCGTACAAAGACGCAGACAAATTCGCCAACACACCTGGGTCACATTGTCATCGTCTGCGCTGTTGTATCGGGCCACATCAGGAGACACTTTACACTTGGACTCAACGAAGCGCGGCTGGGTATCAGGAGCGCTGAAGCTGTTGGGGAAGTAGTTAGGCGCTCCCCCTGCAGGACAGGAAAGGAACTGCTGTTGTATTTGCCAAACCAATAATTCAACGACCAATGAATTGCAAGCGTTTGGGTCACATGTCCTGATCAGGCATTCCAGACAGATGTTGCGTTGTTAATCTGAGTCACTTTTAAGAGACTTAGGGCTAGATTTACTAAACAGGGCAAATTAGCTTTAGAGCGCAATTCCATAAAAGCGCAGATGGGACGGGAAAATTCTGCATGTGATTTACTGACAATGCGCGTCTTTAGTAAATCCTACTATTTTAATGCCTAAAGATGGTTTGCGCTGGTGCAAGCTGTTAGTAAATCTGGCCCTAATACTATTTCTTACTCAAAACCAAACCCAATATGTGACATTGCGTCTTGTTCTGCAGTGTTTGTAGTGTGTGTCACTCACCCTGGTTGTCAAACATGCACATGGGTCCGTCTCTCTGGTAGTTTGCCACGCGGGTGCGGTAGGGGCAGTTGACGGACAGCTGGAGGTAATTCGCTCCGAGCCGATGCCTATGTGTGTCTGGATAGGAGAAAAGACGCCCCTGTGGCGACAGAATTGAGTAATTATAGCATTTAGTCATTCTACTCATTCTTGCGATTAGTTATTAGTCACTGACGCTTTAATCCAAAGTGATTTACAGGACACTTATTACAAGTATGCAGAGCTTAAGTGCTTTGCTCAAAGACAAAATAGTGAACAAGCATACTTTTGTGTATCATAAGCCTGTGCAAAGACGAACTTCTGAAATGTGTCGCTAATGCTAATGCTTAATAGGTTTTGTGACACAGTAGTACAAACATACCTGCAACATCTTGTCCGGGCTGGGCTCAATGCCAGGTGGCATGTTACTGGGATCAAATGCCAGCTGCTCGACCTCAGCGAAATAGTTGACAGGGTTTCGGTTCAACACGAGGCGTCCCACAGGAATCAGAGGGAAGTCTTTATGGGGCCACACCTGAGAGACACAGAGCCAGTCATCGGGATGGACACACCTACATACTCATTCTTTATTAGGACTACTTCATCAAAACTATGAAAGAATGCAAATGGAAGTACGGGAATTGTGTAGTGACCAATTCCAGACATTAGTGTAGTGCACTGGTTCTCAACCAGGAGGCCAGGGCCCACATACATACAGTATAATTACATATAATATACATTACATATAATTTATTTTATATTAATGTTCTATTCATCTTAAAATGCTTTTTTTTGTAATTTTGAGTGTTTTTTCCATTGTATTAGTTTTATTTTTGTGTGTACCAGAGGTACATATCAGCCTAAATAGGAGGGCCTTCAAATATTGTTTTGAACAAAGGGTGCCTTTAAGTCAAAGAGGTTAAGAACCACTAGCGTAGTGTCTTGAGGCGCATTCTGGGATGCGGAAACCTTAGTCAAATCAAACGGATTCCACTGCCAGTTCTCCGCCTGCTCAAAGGTCATGACTTGGATGTAGAGAGTCCAGGATGGGAAGTTGCCATTTGAGATGGCATTGTAAAGGTCTCTGATGGAGTAATCTGGGTCGGTGGATGCCAGACGATCGGCCTCTTCAACTGGCAAATTCTTGATGCCCTGATCAGTCTGAAAGACAAGAACGAGCATTAAAGGTGACATATCATGAAAATCTGACTTTTCCAGGTTTTAAGTGCTATAATCAGGTCCCCGCTGCATCTACCAACCAAGGAAACGTGAAAAAGATTAACCCAGTAACTTTGTTTTGGTAAGCCTTTTTCTTCAAGCA